TTTGCAAAAGGCTGTGATCGTTGCTTGACAAGAAACGACGTTCTAGAAAATGATATTCCTGATTTTTTTTTAATTTTTTTTATTTCTTCATTTTTTTATTACATAGCGAAAACCAGATGTTGAAAGCACACATGTGTATATATATATTTCAATTATAATATATCCGGATATATGTACATATTATATTATACATATATATATATAAACGTATCTCTCTATAAAAAATATATCTTATGCACCCCGTAGAAAATATATTCTCCTGTTAAAGGTAAGATCTCTCTAACAAAGTACAAATGATTGTTTTTTATTTCTCACCTAAAATAATGAAATCATGAAACCTTTTTGTTATAGCCGATTTATAGTTGGGAATGTTTGACTTGTTGTTTTTATTATTAACTCTTTGTTATTGTTTATATCTGTATATATATATTTATACATGTTACCGGCAATGCATGAAAAGCCGGCATTATATAGAATACTTAGGTATTGTATATAATGTTCGACGTTTTTAGGCAATGTATGAAATATGAGAATTGTTACATACTTGCCCTAGGCATTGCATATAATTCATAGGTATTCTGTAGAATGACAAATGCTATTTAGGCGAAGTATATAAAAAGATCCTGTGATAAGGCTATTATATAATTAAATATATAAATAACAAAACATAAAAATACAAATGTTATTCTGAAAAAATAATGAGAGACATGATATGCAAAACGAATCAGAAAAGTATTTCATAATTTTGCCGATTTCTCCATTTGGCATTCTATAGAATGCCTAGAAAATGTGTGAAATATGAATATATTTCATGTATTGCCAGCTAGTTTCTACAGAATGCCGGATTTGAAACTTTGCCGGTAACATATATATATAATAATATGTGTTATGAAATTCGTGTTTCAACGTTGAGCAGCTTTGTTTCACTCTACTAATTAATTAATATATCTACGTATTATCCTTGAAACGCGTCTCTACGATCGATCGACCGTAATAATTAATTATTTAGAAATTAACGTAAAATTATATTTGTTTTTCTTTAATCCCTATAATTAAAACTTTCTTATCGTTTAAGGATTAGAAGGTAATATTTCCAAGTGGAACGTCGGAGATTATCGTTGCACACGAATTTTCCAGGATATTTCGATTATCTTTGTTAATCGGACAATTTTTTATTCCTTCATTTTATTTATATCTGTTTACAAACGTTCTGAATGTTTGATCAAGTTGAAAATATCGTGCAAACATACGTAATGCATATGTAGTTCGTTTACATATATAACGCGGTAGAAAAATTGGGGCGAAAAGAAAAATGGGTAAAAACAAAAAGAAGGAAAGAGTAGACACATGGAAATTTCCATAATTTCATTTGGTGGACAAAAAAGTAGCATTGGTGCTGTCTAGTAACGTATTAACATTGTTAAATTTACAATCAGCATTTTATTGTACTATTTTTTTTTCCACATATTAACCTGCTTCCGTCTTTTCCTTTTTTTATTTATATTTATTATTTTCTTTTTTTTCGTAACACTTAAAGTCAGGAGTTCTTCTTATAAAAAGTGAAATGCGAAGGATACGTTTTAATAGCTAATCGTAAAATTATCGTCACGAACGTTTTACCAATTAACATCATTCATTTAGTTAGTAGGATAAAGAATCTGCGCAAAGAAATCGCAAAAATATTTCCCTCCTCAAATCGATTTTTTTGTTTTGAGTTATAAATTTCTTCGGGATTATTCGATCATCCTCCCTGTTAAAATACCACGTATGGCTATTGCTTTTTTTGAACAAATTTTAACTAAGGAGCTTATTTATTAAAAACGTCAATTTTTTATGTAATAACAATTATTACTTAAAATAACAATTCGTACTTTATACTATTATCAAAAAATAGAAATTTTAAATATAAAATTTTGCGATTAAAAAAGAATTAAAATATGTATTAAATTTAAATTTATACATTTTTTTTTTTATTTTCTAAGTTCTCTGACGAGTTAATTCGTTATTTTCAGTTAAAAGGTTAACATATTCTTTGTTCAAACGATTCAAAATGGTTGTTATTTATACGCAGGTCATATATTACCCATGCGGCTCAAATTAAAAGTCACAGAAAATCAATCTGGTATGGAACGTGTTAAAATTCAAAACTAATAGTTAAAATATTTAAAAAAGAACTAAAAAAGGTCTTTTCGAAATAAAACGCGTTACTTTGTCCGTTTATATATATCGTTTAGGATCGTTTTAAAGAGTATTGATCTTCCGTCGCGACGTCAGAAGGTTCAACGCAAGTTATCGTTGTAGTGTTTTAGAAGAGCATATCATGTAACAAGTACATAAGGCACTGACAGGTGTCGCAAAAACGTCACGAGATTCCTTGTACTTCGAACTTCAAGTTTTCGCGTCCTTTTGCAAAACAAGCAGGCAGGCAGCTGGCCTATTCCGAAAAATCCTTGATGTTTGTAGGTCAAAAGTCAAAAGGTATTGTCGAAAGACGACAAAATACTGTTTCGAGATTACGTGAGTAAATATCATTTTCTGTGTCATAATTCACATAACTAAACTCGGTATATAAAAATTAGAATATTATGTGTTTAATCGTAGAATTTATTATTATAAGATTGGACTAAAAACATATTTATGACATCATGTTATTCATCTAATTGTAGAACCGATTATTATCCAAAATTTGATCCACAAAAATATATATATGCTATTATATTTATTAATTAAAAATAGATCATGTGTGTGACATGTGTAGATTTAGAAAAGATAATGAAATGAAAGGTCATCGTCATTTCATACTTATACATATACTTACTTGTATACTTACGGACATTATTTTATTGCAAAATGTCCGCTTCTGAAATAATTCGGCTATTAGGATTTTTATTTTTAGACTTTTTACCGCCTCTAAATAATAAAAAAAAATTTCTCGTATCGAGAGCTTACTTACAATTAGAACGGAAAGCATTGTTTTGAAATATTCCTTAAATAAATTACAATAAATCGAGTCTTGCGCACGAGACTCGACCCCGTATGTCTCCATGTAGGATAAAACGAGTTAAATAGGTTACAATATATTGCGATGCCATAACCTCCAATAGTGACTTCCTCTCTAGGAATGTGAATTTGTGAAGAATATTTTCGCGAGAAATTGTTGACGAACATGTTGGGTGTTCTTTCTCACTCCCGAGAATATTCTTCAGAAGTACTTCACGTATCTAGCTAGAAATAGTCAAGAGACTTAGAAAGAAAATAAGAAAGTAAGAGAAGAATAGAAAGAAAAATGGTACGATCGTGAAATTGTGTGTATGTGTGTATGAGTGAGAGAAAGAAAGAGTATGTGTGAGAGAGAGAGAGAGAGAGAGAGAGAGAGAGAAAGAGAGGAAGATCAGAATTAAAGAAAAAAAGAAAATCTTAGGATAGGTCAGTCTGGCGTGCAACAATGTAGTGTGTGCTTGTGGTGTGGATTTCAGCAGGCCTACAGTCAATACATCCCAGCTACAAGGGCCCAAGTATCTGGGGCCCAGGGTGGGCAGACGGGGGTCGCCATGGATGGCACTTACCTCGTCGAGGCCTCTTTTTGAGTAAATAACATATACATAGAAATCGAGGTATAAGGTCATTTGATTGATATTTGTATAAGCTGTTAATAAAAAAGAACGGGAAAATGAGAAAAGTAACCAAAAAAAAGTTAATCAGTCTCTTTCTAGCTGATATTTAAAATAATCATGTTACAGAGTCGAGTCGTGTATAAAAATATTTGATAATATGTGTAAAAGTGAACTAAAATAGAAAAAAATAAACGAATGTATGAAGGAAACTCTTATAAAGCTCGAAAACGAAAAGGAACGTAATTATTCGAGACTAGAGGTTATGAAAATAAATCACGAAAAAGAAAAAAGAGAGACAGAGAGAGAGAGAGAGAGAGAGAGAGAGAGAGAGAAAGAAAGAAACGAGGTGAAGATGAATCGAAAATCGACTTGAATTAAAAAAAAAATTAGTAAGCTACACAAAAAGAAAATCGCTGTATCAATCAATCAAATTCTTCTGTATTTCCTCATTTCCGTGCCATCTTCATGGATGCGACCTCTCGACCCCCGGGATTATCAACGTTGACGATCGATGATGATTCGACGTTTGGATTCTATATGCTGATGGATACGACGACCACAACGATGATTATCTTCATATTACTACACTGCTCTATCACCACTGTCACCACCAACTCCAACGCCATCACCACCACCACCACCATCACCACTGCCATTCCGATCATCGTCACCATCTTCATCGTCATCGACGTCGTCTCCTTACATCGACTTCGAACACACTTCGGATACCACAATGGCGGCTCCCTCTTCTTGTCCATTCAATTTATGCCACACTCAATAATGCATTTTTAATGAAACAATCGTTCGTTTGATAATTTATAAATTAAACAAACAAAATAATACCGGATGAATAAAACACATTTATCGAATACAAATAACAAAAAAATATCCGAACGATGAAAATAAAAAAATATCAAAAATGTAAACCGCTGGTGATCATAAACACGCATTTTGGATGTACGAATCCAAAAATAACGTGTAATATATTCAACGTCACTCGGGATGGTATGAAACAAAAAAAAACAAAAATTAACAAACAAAAATATAAACACAAAAATAATAACAATACGATAAACAATCGCTCGACTGCTAACAATCGTTGATGGCGTCATGGAATGGAATTGTCATTATAACGAAAAAATGGAAAATAACAAAATTGAAAAAAAAAAAAACAAAAAAAAATGTTCCAATCGTACGACGATGGGCTGGCTTGCTGGATATGCGATGCTAACGAACGGCGAATGAAAACGAACGTCAAAAAAAAAAAAATAACGGGGCGCACGTATATACGCGCAATGTATGCAAAATGAAAACGACGAACAATTGAACCGAACTATTTCACGACGAATCCAATTCTACGACGACGTTACACGTGTCCACGTATAGAGCTTGTCCTATCAGCTCACCTCGAACGAGAGCAAGGATAGAGTGGTGCTCGTATATGGCGACCGTATACAAGTGCGGACAAAGGTAAAGAAATTGTTTCCTCATTTGGAAACGCTTGTGGACGCTATGATATTTCGTTATAAAAATATAAAGAGAGGGACAGAGAGAGAGGGAGAGAGAGAAAGAGAGAGAGAGAAAGAGAGAGAGAAAGCGAGAGAGAGAGAGAGCAATGATAACAAAAGATGATATTCATGATGATGATAATAATGATACAGATGATTACGATACTGCTGCTGATGCAATGATTTATATACATATACATACATATATAGATATGATATCTGTACAATTGCGTCTATATACATATGTATATGATAATAGATGTGATATACGTATGCAAATATCTATGTATATATATATACACACGATTTTATGATTTTGGATGATGATGTCTTGCCTCACACGATGGGAGGACACACGAGAGGCACACGACGAGGGTCCTCCAGAACAGAAATCCTCTTTGGTGATCGTGTCAGCCGATCGTGCGAGCCGATCTTATCGCGTGGCTGTCTTATCTGAGTTGGCTTTATGGGTGTTCGCTTTCTTTCTAACAGTTCATATATTTCTTTTATTGACATTTTGATTATTCATCATAATACTATGCTAACAACACCTGGATGATGATATTACGGTTTTAGCTATGATCGTTTATATTGGCTGATCTGAACAATTTATTTAATTTACTGCTTATCGTCGTAACATTGCTTTTTTTAATAGTAAGATTGATGCGTTCGTTGTTTTTAGGTAGATATCGAGAACGATATAAAATTGATTAGAAATTCTAATAATGGAATATTTGAAATATAGGAGATAGAATATCGATTGGTTAAATTACAAGAGAGACATATCGGATAATTAATGGATCATTAGTAATCGAACTTAAAGATTTCTTTTCTACGAGTGTTTATTCTTGGATGTCACCGTCGTGGTAATTTTCGTATGTATATATGAATATCTAATTGTTCAAGAGAACAATAATAACTTTATGATCATCATTCTGCTATAATTAATATTTCGCGATATAAGAATCGAAGATATTGAAGCATTCTTAGAATTTCTAATTGGGTCATGATAAAATTACGTTCTCTTTTTCTTATTATTTATTACCCGTTACGTGAAATTAGATTTTTTCGCTTCAATATACCCCATCGATCTTATTCTATTTTCATAAACGCAAAATGGTAAATCAATTTTTGATTCTATTACATTTTCGATATTACTTTCTCGAAAGATGCATACAAGTGGCAAAACGAAGTCTTACATCTTATCAACTTCATCGCGATTGAACATAAAAATGATAGAACACAGAAAATGAAAGAAAATGAAAAAAAGTATACGTGTTATAGTATATTAGCCTTTTACAATAGTTAAGATCAACCTTCATCTTTACTTTTATTCCCCTTTTTGTATTCTACCATTGGAATTCATTGCAGCTTTTTTTTTGTGACATATCTTGATTATCATGATCTTATCATGATTCTTAAAGCTCCTATACACATTTAAGCATATTTATGATCCATGCATTAATTCCAATGTTTCATGATACATATTATGATATATACGTGGAAACATACTTATTTTTAGCATCGGTAAATCAGTATTTGCATCGATACAAGAAAAAAACAGCTGTTTTAACGTTGATGTCACACGAGAAACTGAGAAGAATTAGTAATGCGAAGGCTGAAATGAAAACTGATGTAATTTTTATGAAACCTTTGGTATCGCAAAATGTTTCAACGTGTATAGGGCGTTTTCGAAGTTTCATGTTGGCATCTTTAAACACACGAAGGTAAAAAAAACGTAAAAAAAGAAAATAAATATTCAAGTATTCTTATTTCATTGCACGAGTGCATCTCTAAGTGCATGTAGACAAATGAGGAGATATTAGAGCGTCGAATATAAAGAGATCTGTGTTGATAGTCTCTCTCTCTCTTTTTCTCTTTCTCTTTCTTTTTCTTTTTATATTTAAAGTGACATCACAAAAATAGTTCTGACAAAGTAGTCTTTTTATCCTTTCACCTTTCCTTTGCTTTCGTTTCACGAGTATACAGATTCATTCATTATCAGATGTGTTCATTTGATTCATTCATTGACAAAGTGTTTCATTTGATATCATCATCACTATTATCAATATTAACATAGTCGTCGCCATCAACTCTATCTCTGTCTTGTTTTTCCCCTCTTATATTATACATGATCTAAAAAACAGGCTTGTTTATATTAATACGTATACTTTACGCAAACGCAGAAAAATAGAAATACATGAGTTGTAAAGGCTATTTGTGTTTACACTTTAATGAGAAACACATTTTTAGGGCATCCACGACAGGGTTATTATGTTTTGCATCGAGAAAGAAATAAACGAAAGCAACAAATGTGAACGAATTTCCCCGGGAAAATTGTGGGGAAACCCATGGGAATCTCCGGGAAATTGTGGGGATCCCCTGGGGAGAATCCCGAGAAAATTGTAAGGAACCCCTGAGAATCCGGAGAAATCCATGGGGTTTCTTGTAGAGACATTCATATTGTGATTTTATTGCACCCCTCTAGACATTGCGTAATGCTTTCAGAAGAGAGTTTTTTTATAGGTGTTTATAATAAAAAAGATATTCCACGTAACGGTAATGTTTAATAAGATTCATAAGTGCGTGTTGTTTTCGAACGTTTCTCGCTTTATCATGAATTATTCTCTTTCTTCAATTTTTGGCGAATCTTCACATTTGTTTCGGTTGCATTTTATTGTATTTTTTATTTATTATTTTATTATGATCTAATCAATTATTAAAGCTCGTAAATTATATACGTTTAGAACTAAACTATTTAAATTGTTTATTTTGTAGGAAGAAGACGAAATAAGATCGAGTTTTGCCTTCTGTTGAATTTAAAAGTGATTATTATATATTACGTGCCGTGTTAAAGGCACGTAAATGTTCGTATTATTTTGTATATTCGTCTAATTAAATTTTCCGTTAAAATTGGGTCAACATCCATAAAATCCGGTAAAGAAAAAACATTGGTAAGAATTCCCAACTTTGAGATTTCGTTCTTTTATGTGGGTATATCTTTTTCCCGCGGGGAAAAGATTTTCTTCTTAATGTAGTTAGTGAATGCCTTATAACATTTTTAACGTTTACTCTTTTTTTCATTTAAAGTGATTTTTATATATAAAGAGGTAACGCTGCTATTGGTTGGACGTCCTATGATACTTTTATCATCCTTCATCTTTAGTTTAATGAAAATGCATTATTGCGTTTCGCACAAGCACCCTAACGTTTCTAGTGCTGCTAATAATAGTTTTGACTTCGTTTGATGCAAAAGTTTAAGTTTACGATAGATTATATCCTTTTCATTGTATTTTGATGGAAGAATTCTTTCGTCGAATATTCGAAACAATTCCTGTAGTCTCTACATGTACTTACACTTCGGATAGAAAAGGTAAATTATTTATGAAGTAATTACTTGTATATATATATATATCACATTTGATTCAATAATTAAGAATCCTGCTTGACATTATCTCCGATTTTATTTGAATGCGATATAGTTTCTTTTTTTTTTTATTCGAAAGATATATCATTGAGTGCAAGAATTTTCAAACATTTCATTTGATACATATATACGTACTTAGATACATACATACATAAATACATACATACTTATGTATTTGGTGATAGCTTGTAAGGATTAGGTATGTGTATATAGGAATGTACGAAGTGCATCATGCACCTGCAGTGCGGTGCAGCTTGTCATGAGGAATTATTAGCTCGAACGATTCTTGTCTTCGAGGAAAACAGGACATAGCGTTGACTATCGAGCAAACGACGATAAGTGGACAATGACGAATACCTTGACTTGCAAAGGTCATCACCGCAATGCGTTCAAGCATGTATTTTCACGGACCTAGTCTGAGTATTAGTATTATCCAGACTAAACGTAGAACGTCCAACTTTTCCGGAGTGAAGAAATTTCTAATAAATTTAGTTTGCTCGAACTCGATGTAATTAAGCACGAATTTATTATACATTCTTGAGATACATTCCTGAAATGAGATGCTGGTGACTATTCTTTTATTCTATTATATATTATATTTAAATATCTTATATATTTATATTTATGTTATCGTTAAAACGTAAAATCAGCTAAACCATAAAATAATGATTATACACTTTAACGGTAATATATATACTATTGTATATCGTGACGTTAACACTTTTGCTTAAGGCTTATTACTTGACTATTTATAAGTTCATTTATTTATTACAATTTTATCGAAGAAATGGAAAATATTTCGTTATTATTTAATTCTATTCATCTGACAAAGAGAATGGAAAGCTTCGATAAAGAGATCTATGTATTATATATATATATATAATACATAGTTGTAGCTTTGTTATATCGTGCTTTCGATAAATATGTTACTACTCATATTGCATGCTTCTGTACATACATAAATACATATATACTCTATATACTTACATACTGTTCAATACCTTTGTAGTTTCCATACTATACGTTTCTATCTTTATCGATTACGTATTATCTTTTTCTTCTTCTTCTTCTTGTTCCTCATTGTATTTATTAATTATTACTGTGCTTGCTTCGCATTTGTTGTTTTTATTATAATTGTCTCTGTTGTTCATTGTTACGCATGATTTCGTTTCTCTGCACGTGGCCACATGTCTCTTTCATTCTTCCCCTTCCTCTCGCTCTCTCTTCGTTTTTTCGACTAAAAATAATTAATTCTAATTACTAACTCGGTAATATTTTATAACTTTTGCAATTAGATGTATTAGAAAAAACAAATATATTAGAAAAGCGACTCAACCCTCTTTTCTTTTCTCGAAATATGTTTAAAAATAAAACTTTATTTTGTTACTTTATAATTATCTTGAAATTAGATTCTTTTAAATATTTATTTTTTTCTTTCAAATATATCAAATGTAGCTAATAACGTGCTTCTCTTGAACGAATAAACAATTTCTTGGATAATGGATAAACATTCTTGTAGTTAAATGTTTTTTGTCATCATTTTTGTTCTCTTTCTAAAAGAAAAAAAAAGTTAACAATGATCATCTCGCATCATTTTCATCGACGTATATTTTTGCTCGTAGTATATAATTTTAATTTATTTCTTTCGTTCACTCAATATTTTTATTTTATATCTTTTTCATTTTTACCATCATGTACACGAGATGAACATTTTATATTTTATATCGGTCACTAGCCGATTTTTCTTTTTTTCTTTTTTGTCGAAAAAGATAACGCGAAATTGATCTTCGAACATATTCGAAAGTTCCTCGTAGTTGGCTCGAGTATTTTATATCCTGAGTTTCATAAACCGTGACATTTGATAGAGCACTATTGTGTTGCATTTTTTTTTTTTGTATGTCTAAATGGGCTCTCCGCATGAGCAAGCAAAAGAGAAATGATCGATACAGCTAAAAACATTGAAAGAGAGAAGAGAGGTGAGGGAGGAGAGATAGACATAATTTAAAATTTGTCTTAATCGGTTTAGAAATGAGAGAGCGAGAGAATGAGAAAGTATGGGAGAGAGAGAGAGAGAGAGAGGGAGAAAATGAAGAGATAGAAAGAAAAAAGGGCGCAAGAGAGAGAGAGAGAGAGAGAGAGAGAGAGAGAGAGAGAGAAGAAGCGAGCGAAAGAGACAGAGAGAAAGAGAGAGAGAAATAAAAAGTTGTGGGAAAGAAAAGAAAATAGTGGGAAGAAGGGAAAGAACATTCAAACATATCCGAAATGCCAATTGTTCCAGGACCTAAAGAAGCGCGGTTCCCACACCTGTGACATGCAGGCCCTACAGCCACTTCCGGTCCCCACCACCACCACAACCAACACTGCGCCTGCCATGACTACTTCCGGTGGGCAGCCACCGCTTCCGCTTTCGGAGACCGCTTGAGTACGATCGAGACCAATCACAATCACCATATCCACTAATAAGATCACCTATAACTTTCATCGTTCTTCTCTACTGATTGCTTCGAGAACGAACTACGGTGGCCATCTGGCCACGAATACGGTGAGCCTGAATCACGATCATTTAAAAAAGAAATTTAAACAAAATATATAGAACAAAAAATATATAGAAAACGAAAAAAAAAATACTAGAAAGGAAGATGGATGAGATATCGTTGAAAAAGAAAGGAAAAAGGAACATTGAGAAGAAGAATGTGTATAAAAAAGCGCGTCACACCGGAAGTAGTCGAAAACTTCTTCGTGATCTCTATTGATAGATTTTCGTGATTCACATGTATTGTTGCTCACTTTGGATACTTTTCTTAATTAATGATAGATTAGTAATCGAGAAACAATTTGCAACAGTTTATCACGATCCACACTCTATACGACGAAAGTTTTACATCAGTTTAAACACGCAAGTGATTTCTTGTTCTTATGAATTTAATTCGTTTAAAATACGAATTTTTGTTGATTAATGAAAATTTATATTTTTTCACAAACACAATGTAATAAGTGTAATTTATTTTTCTGAATAATAATTTGTTTCATTGAAAATTTGAATAATTATTAATATAAGAACAATTTATATCATTAAAAATATATTTTCCGTTAAAGTTGGGAATTTGTAAAGTTGAATCATTCGAAATCAGAAATTCTAGATAATTTTTGAAAAATTAATTATTAAATTTTTATAAGAATGATCTCCACAAGATTTTTAACGTTTTCAAAATGTTATAAAATATTTTATGAGATTCTGACTTCAAATTATTTTGGAAACGATTTGAAACTGTGTATTAATCGAATCGTTTCAAATATTTGCTAGGGATTCGTATCAAATGGGTTCGCATGAAATGTACAAACTTACTTCAGCCAATGGTTTCTCTTCTTTCTTGTCAGATACTTTCTAGCAGTAGAAAAGTTTATTCGATCGTATTGTCATATCTCCAAGCGTTGGAGAAAACTTATATGTTTTCTTTCTAAATCTTTTGGCTACTTTCGGTGGTTAGCGCTTTTTTTTCTCAGCATACAATAAGTTTCCCATTCTTTTTCGATATTTCACTCTTTTTCTCTCGCGATATTACTAATCAAAGTAATCCAGTAATCGTAAGATAATTCTAGTCTAATAATGATCACATTTTTCAAATAATATTTTATTCTAAATTAAAATATTTAATTTTTTTAAAAATGACATTTAAATAAAATTATATTTCAAAATCATATTTTAAATATTTTGTATAAAAGGAATTATCTATATATGCATATATATTTTTTTGTATTTATTATTGTTTTTATTCGGATGAATTCAAATTTGTTAAAAACAAAAAATACCTAACGTTAAATCACGCGTCAAAGATTTCTAAATGAAATTATTCGATAGCTATTATTTTATTAATAATAATGAAGCTTTGTTGTTTCTTTCAAGCGACAACCTATCAACTGTACTAGCCTACGAGTGTATAATGTCTTATAGTCTGTGAAAGGGTAAAACGCAACGACTTTTTGTCGTATCCAACTCGTCACGGTCGAGCGATAATTATACGAGCTACCCCTTCAGTTCTCCTCGCGATTATTGGATTACGCTTTAAGATCGAGATGCTTACTTTTAGTTAAAAGGACGAGAGCTATAATAAAACTTGATTATACGCTAATTAATATCGGATATTCGTCATTCGAGCGTGAAATATGACCTTTTGATCCTAATAATTTGAAAAAGACAGTAACTCATTGTTTAAACTTGTTACATTTAATGTTTCTTATAAAAATGAAAATAATCTTTTTTTATAATTATCAAAATCCTAGAAAATCTACGAAACTTCATATTTAATATTCGTTTATTCTCCTAAATTTCTTTGAACGTAGTATTCGTTTTATCAGTCAACGTTTCTAATACAGTCTTGCCGTTTTGTTTGAACATAATGAAGAGTACGTTGAGTTGATTCTTCGCAAAATATGTATCGGTCGATAGTATCGAGTTTGGTATCGAGGCAGATCAGCCAGCAAATGGATGATGAATCAACCGGTAATCGTACACCAAAGCTCGTTACTCGAATTTCGATCCTGAGAGCTTTAGATGCTCGACTAGAGGATGATGCCAGTTTGAGAAAGGAACTTGATCCTCCGAAACGAGGTCGAAGGTAAATTTACACTGAGGTAAACCGCCGAAATACCTGGCGTGGAATGAATACGTTCCTATTGGCTTATCTCACAGTCCCCTTTCCGGATAGAATCGTCATCGTTCGATCGATAATTCGAATGACAATGTTTCAATAAAATCAGGAGAATGATTTATAATATTTTTCAAACGATTACCTATAGATTAATTCTTCATTATTACGACTAATCTCGAAATAAATATTGATTCAGATATTTATCGTGTTTTGAATAGATACGAAAATGACATTGAATGGTAGAAATGGATCATTCACAAACGATGGGAACGAGCTTCGTTATCTGGTCATCGACCATACAATACCAACTAACTATCTCTCTCTCGAAGTAACTCTGAGAGAGCCTCGAGGTATAATCTCGCAGAGATATCGATCAAAGTTCTCCACTCTCAACGGTGTTACTCTCCTCTCTAGTTTCCTGGGGTGCAAGCAACCGAGTCGAGTGTGTTATTTCTATCGCTCATTCTGCTGCTTTAGCCAGTTTCACCAAGGTATCTACCATCGTTTCTGTATAAATGTGTGTGTGTGTTTCTGTTAGTGTATGTGACGGAATATAGAAACTCACTCCCGCATAGAAAAAAAGAGACGCGTATGCGCCATCAGCACCACTTTCACGGACGCCTCACTTATTCTCGAGATACTTTCAAGCTTTTCTCCTTCTTTTTTCCTACTTTTGGTACGTCTATCTATCTCTTTCTAGCCCTTTTCCTACAAACCAGTTTAGCCTTTCTCTCTCTCTCTCTCTCTCTTTCGTTTCTTTCATCCTCCATTTTCCGTAACTGTACCATCATTCTCGTTTTACTGGTTTCTTCTTTTGCATGACAATCGTCAGCGTTGTTTCCTTCCCTTCTATTTCTCTTTTTATTTCTCTTTCGTGAATCTTCTTCAACATTAAGCAAGTTGGCCGACTTTTCTCTAGAACACATGCCATAGCAAAGCCTAGTTTACTTCTTAGACTTTTCTTTGTTCAACTTCCGAAAAATCTGATAGTCTTACGAATAGGCGAAGTCCATCCTTTTCCGATATCTGCTCTTTATTTTTTCCTCTCTTTTATTTTTTGTTAAGTTTCTAAATTGTATTCCCTTATCCAATTTTAACTGATCAATTGGCGGGTTTCATGCGTGTTTTGCGACTGACTCGCTGTTCAGATTTCATCTTTCTTCTATGCTGTTTTATTAGGCCCTTCTATTTTTTGAATTTCGATTTCACAAATATTTTGATTCCCTTTTTATTTTCTATGTAAATTTGACTCATTTGATTGACACTTTTATATAATATTGTTTCTTTTGTCGATAATGTTTTTCAATTTTCAATTTATATGGAACTCCAGAAATTAGTTTGTTATATAATTTTTGTCTATAAAAATTCGTTAAAATAATAAAATTACTCTTATATTCAAAATTGACAAGCTTTTTATTAAATGAAAATAAATTGGATTTAGATAATAATGGTACGTATATTATATATTACGTGGATCTTACTTATATACACATAATTGACAGAAATTATTGGATAATTCGACGATACGGTAGTTTTATAAATGGAGATAATATTTTATCTAAAAATTGATCGCGATTTTAACTATAGTATTCGGTAAATTTGCATAAAAACTTTTTTTTTTCATAAGTACCTACTCCACATTATGTTCTTCGTTCGCACATTCTGGCTTACAAGGCTCAAATGTTTATCAATTTAATGCATTTTCCGTGAGATTGGCAAATTTGAATGCGTCCAAGCGTGAAATTGCAATATAGATAAGCAGCGTTCTCGAATCGATGGATTTACCATCACACATAATTTAAATTCAGTGAATCTATTGATCTTATTTGGATTTGCTTGAGGGATGAAAAAGAGAAGTATGAATGACATCTAGCGAGTTTATGCTTTAAATTAAACAATTATTTTTTTATAATGTGTTTTAATCCCAGTTCTGATCAATTATAAGGGAGGTTTCTATTACAATCTTCAATTTTCAATGACTGATTATTTTCAATATATTTTCAATTTCCAATATATTTATCCTCTAATGGAAGTTATAGAAGCTGTAAAAGGCATTATTGTAATAAATGATAACAATAATATATTTTCAGTATAATCGTCAATATTATTTATAAGGCAGTACTTGATGTTTGGCTGCTGTTATGATTGTTCTATGTTGCTATTAAGACTCTTCATAATACATTGTTTTCTTAAAGTGTTTCACAATATCACTTCTCGATATTTTTTTTAGCCCGTCCTTTAATGATCCTACGTCATTTCACATCACAAACATTCCTAGCACAAGTAAAGACGAGGTATATTCCTAATAAACTCGGCAAGGGTTTTATAGTTTTTCCGCTCTACAAATACACATCAATAGGGATCCGGATTCTTTTGAAATCAGCTATATTTAAGGATTCATTCTGGTTTATACGCTGAAAAAAAGGCTATTTTCACGATTTTTTTTTTAGGCTTTGTTGAATACATATACATATGAAAGTTGTTGGGTATGATAAATACACTCTAGAAGTACTAGAAACAAATTTTTTTTTATTGTTTTTAACATTTTTTGACATTCAAAATGGCTGACAAACGTGAACCCTTCAAAAGTAGGTATGCTGTTGGCGGGCATCGAAATTTGAGAACGGGTGATCTAAAACAAAAAAATTAAATGGTTTTAAATTCAGTATGACAATGGCTATCGGGTATGCTAAAACTATTAATTTTTATGAAAACAAAACAAAATGACGGCCATTTTTCGAAAAATAAAAAAATCAACGATTTTTTTCGCACTTTTTTGTAAAAAAAAAAATAGTAAAAATTAATATTTTGACTTGGTTATAGCATGCGAGATAGCTATTCATGTTTAGAGTATGTGGTTTAAATTTCATAAGGATCGGTTGAGTAGTTTTGGAGATATCATGCCCGCCAACCGAAAAAACGTTGTTTCGAGAAAAACGCGTTTAAAATTTCTTTTAACAAATTTTTAAAAAGTCTGACTTTACCTTATTCTGCGATGCCTGCACCATATAATATGCCTTCTGCTTCTTCAAAATACTCATTTTAATCCACTCTAGTCTTTTTTCGTTGTGTCCTGGCCTCTTTTGAAGATTCTCCGCTCAAACGATTGGCTGAGCGCACACGCGTGTTGTCGCGGTTACTAGAGTAATTGACTGCGATAGGGCCAAGTTTTATCCCCAAAACGTGCATTATTTTTAGTATTGGATCAAAACCTTCGTTGAATATACAAGCTGCCAATTTACAAGCTATTTGAACAATTTTTTTTACCATTAAATAAGTGTTTAGGCACCATAGCCCAAACGCATTTGTTGAAGCACTCATTATTATTTTGAGTGTGGTTACCTAAACATCTTTCAAGTAATTGGTCAACATTAACCTTTTGTTTTTTGCAGCTATATTCATGCAGAGACATTTCCACTTACACAACCGCAAATGGTTTGAAAATGATAAACCCGAATGAACCCTTAAAGGCTCTCTAATATCCAATTACCAAAAATGTTGTGAACGGTTTAGAAAATATCTTACATTTTGCATTGTCAGAGTAAAATATTCGTAAAATATTTAACGAAACGATGAGAATAAAGTTATATGATTCATTTTGTAGAAATAAAATATTATACAATTTCGTTGTAACTTTTTCATGTACATTAAAATTCCTTTCTAGTACACCGCGCATATACGCAATCAGATAAAGGCAAAGAAGTGAGATTTGAATGCAACTTAAAGACGAGATATTCCCATTTCCCATTGTAATTTAAGAATTTTTTCGTAGTATGTCGTGAAGAAATATTTTTATACTTCGAAAAATTATTATATATCTTCCATGTAGATAGATACTCGGCAGTTTAATATTTTGTTTTTTATTTTTTGCCAGACGTTCTAGAAGGCTGACTTTAAAAAGTAACATTGAAATCCTTTTTTCTCTTTTAATCCTTTACTCTCGTTTGACTTTTGGAAATTTGGTTGGGGCTTAAAAAAAGCTGCGACAATAGATGACCGAGTTCTCGACTGTTCATGATTGGCGGGCTTGTTACGAATAACTTTTAAAAACTACTGACTATTATTTCGAGAACTCGCATAAGACTCGTTAATAACTGCATCGGATTCTGCTAGAATTTTTTAAGAATACAAAGAGATAGAAAGAGAGAGAGAAATAGTAGGATTTTAAGCTTACTATGAGACATACCTCATAGTATAACAAACAATACAACATACCTTGAACAAGATAAACTTTCGCATTAGAGCGCATTTTTCATATTAGATAATAAAATGCGCTAGTTTGACTTTCGAAAGAATATTAAAGAATGAACAATTGTTATTTTTGTGACAGTATTTTCCGTGAAAAAAATTTGTTTTTCGATAAATTTTCAAATATCATCCCATGTTATTTTCACTAATCCGATCGAGCTCTTTCGACCCAAAGCAGTTTAAGTAATGAAATATCTATTAGTGACACAATGAAGCTGATGTTATTCTAATTAGATGTGTATCGATCATGTTACATGGAGGTTTACATTTTGCGGCTGGCCAGAGTCATAGAAATTTTACCATATTCCTGTAATTCTATTAATACGATTACTGACGTTGACACGTTTTAAATGCGTCCTCGTAGCAACATCATTTTCTACGTATATACTATATATATATATATAATTTACATTATTAAATAATTTATTCCAACGAACAAATTAATTATTCGTTTCTTCGTTTGACATTGTATTTAAAATTATTCAATTTATAATTGTTTCCAATTCATCGAATGTTTCAACAAATTAATTATAACATTAGTTAATTGTTACAAACTATTCCATTTCAAAGATACAAGCTCTCGTTTGTTTTTTTAGTTATCATTTATATATTACATAATATATTTGATAATCGGAGTAATTTAAATAGACAGACTAATTTTAAATGAATTTGTCATATTATTATCTTATACTTTTTTTCAGTTTAAGCATTTCGATTAAGTTCTTATCATATAAATATTCAAATTAGTTGGGTTTAAGGTTAGTTCAAACATCTGCACGTTCAAATCTTTCTTCGACACTTTATCCACGTGGATATTCAATTTGGATTGTGACATTTAAAATCCATTCATATCTCTTCGTTTTATTAAATTTATCTCTATAGAGTGAAGATATAATGGAGATTTCTATCTCTGTAAGCATCTCGATCTCATCATTGAAATATGTAACACTTATACAATCTTAAAATGCGATCGAATTTATTCAAGAACAAGTTATTTTTCATTTAATTCGACTATAGAAAACTAAAATTGATTTAAAACGATACAATCTATTATGGGTATATTGCAGTAAAGGAAAAAAACTCTGATACGAGTCGACGAGATAGAAGTTCCGAAATGATTTACTACTACGAGGAAGAAATAATCTTTAAAAAAGAGATTATTTATAAAAAAAAAACCCAAGAATATTCTCAGAGAAGTATATCAAGATTCATCATCAGATCGAGAAAGAGAAGATTCGAGGAAATTAAAGATTATGGAGAATGAAATAGATCCGAATTAACTACGATCCAAGATCGAATAAATTTCAAATCCAGATTTCGTAGATGAGACTACTACTACGCTCTGTTAATTTTAATTCTTAACACATACACACATACACACACACACATATATATATATATATATATATATATATATATATATATATATTTTCGATTTCGATGACTAAAAAAGAGAGACAAAAATCGATTTTGTATAATGGATCTTAATAGGGAAATCAAACGTCCAAAATATTTCAATAATGACCTTAAAAATTCATATATTTCATTCAACTATAACGATAATAGATTAATACTCAAGATCCACAAGGTCGCTCGTGAAGGATTTCTAGAAAATTTCCAAGAATGATGAACGAATTCGAACGAATCGAATTTCTACGATGAGTTTAAATCATTATTCAGGATTCGTTTTATCGATGTTAATTATATCGACATTCATCGCCGTTCGATATATTATGATGTTGTTTGCGTGCATTTATGTAATTTGTTTATCTTGCGTGAAGAGAGATGTAGAAGGAAAAGGAAAGTAAAGAAAAGAAAAAACAGAATGAAATGCAGTTTTTAAAAAAAATGCGAAGATGTCACGATTAAAAAAAGATAGACAAGTTACAAAATAAGAAAATGGCACCATAATATGCCTTACTCCGAGTCGCATAGTTATTTTTCATATTTTAACAAAATTTATAGATTGTATATTCGATAATATTAACAAGTGAGATCCCACAAATATCCCATGAATAATTCGTATGCGAATTGACACTTATGTTAATAAATTTATATAATTCATTTTTGTTAATTAAACGATCGGGCTTCGGGTCGAACTTCGTCGTTTCTTTAAATGAAAATTTTTCACAGTTTTTTAATGAATTATTCGTTTTCTCTTCTGATGCATGTATAATTACCAATACTTATTACTACGTAATAATAAGATATTAAAATAAGAAATTTTTCATAATTATCAATTGTTTTTTAAGATATCGTTAAAAGTGTATGCAAATTACATACATATTTACATACAGACATACCTATGTACATATTCGATAAGTTTTGAAGACACTTGGTCGTCTTCATCGTAGTTATAATTCTACGTTATTTACCTACATACCTACCTACCTTCCTACTTACCTACCTACCTACTTATCTATCTATATTTAATATAGAAAATCTTTAGAGATAAAACATGCTTGAAATTAATGGACTATTAGTAGTTTCTTTAACGAATCGACGTAGTTCCCGAATAACTTTAAATCTATGATAATTATAGTTTGCGATTTTACTCAAAATAATATTTTGTTTCATCTCGGACATCGAGAAATTATTATTTGCGATTATAAATTGCGATTTTGTGAAAAGGGTCTCGTGTCTGCCTGGTATTGTCGATATTACGAAATAACTATAAGTTTCATTTTCAATTTTTATCCATGCCAACCGCAATGTCCAAAAGCGGAGCGAAATAGAGAATGAAAGAGAAATTATTGTCCATGTGTAAAAATAGTATAGATAATAACAATAATAATAATAATAATAATAATAATAATAATAATAATAATAACAAAAATAATAAGAATAAGGCAAATAATAATAAAAATAAAATAAAATGAAGATCGAATGAGAAAGATATTGTGAAAGAGAAAGGAAGAGAGAAAGAGAGAGTATGAAAGAATGTGTGTGTATGCGTGTGTGTGATAGGAAGAGAGAGAGAGAGAGAGAGAGAGACAGGGACCCACCTACATTTGTATTCGATTAAGAGTAAAAATTAAGATAATACCCTCGTTCTTTCAAAGTTCCGCGTTCGGTTGTGCCCGATCGTGAAGATATTTTAGACAAAATAAAATATTAAAATTATAAAAAAAATTGTTGGGCGTCGATTTGAAGAACGTCCCCTCTCTCGTCGTTATTTCGCTGTATGATCGATCGTTGAGATGCCTTTTTAGGTAGACAGATACTAGATATTCCGTTTAATATAATCTTTTCGCAATAAAAAATATAATACGAAAGCTTAAATTAAACAAGACGAATTAACACGATTTTTACGAAACATTCCTTCTACTCACGTTTAAGTTGTTCCATAAATAATGATAATAACCTATTGTGAGTAAATTTTTCATTTATTCTCTTTGTAGATTGGTGTAATATAATATAAATATATATTATAAGGGAATCAATGAAAAATTTGAGAAAGAAAAAAAATGGGAGAGAGAGAGAGAGAGAGAAAGAAATACAGTGAGAATAAGTAAAATAACTATTAAATGGATGCAATGTGAGAAATTACGCTTAAATGTCCTTTCTCTTTCTGATTCTCTACGATCGATATTTTTCGATCGAGCATTATACAAGTATGATATTTGTTGGAATAACAAAAAAAAAAAAAATAGATAATTGTAAAAAAAACGAGAATTCTTCCTATGAGAATTTATAAAGTTATGGGTGAACGAAATCTCGAGTAACGATCGATCGATACAAGCGCGTTAAAAAAATATACGGATAATAAAACGAAGATCGAGAGAAAAACAAATATAAGCTCGTTGAAAAAATAATAATATCGATTATTCGTGTAATCAGGATATTACATGACATAAATGCAAGGTTGTAAATATTTCGTCGAAGTTCTTAAAAAAAAGCACTTATTTGAATGTAATTAACTTTGTAATTACCTGTAACGATCAAACTTCAAGTCAAAGAAGAAGAAAAAATCGAGAGAGAAAGGGAGAGAAAGAAAGAGAGAGAGAGAAAATAACATATATATATACACACACACACACACACACACACATATATATATATTATACATATTAAATTATAAACATTATAAATATTATTATAAGTGAAAAGCAAAGGAAAAGAGATTATACACATACGAGCAAATTCACGCTCACACACACTTGCAGCCCATGTCGCGCAATAAAATAAATTCTAAATCGTTTTCAAACTACTAGTATGTGTGATGGTTTGAATGTGTTCAAGGTTTTACGAGAATAAGAGAAAGAGAGAGAGAGAGAGAGAGAGAGAAAGAGAGAGAGAGAGAAAGAGAGAGAGAGANGAGAGAAAGAGAGAGAGAGAGAAAGAGAGAGAGAGAAAGAGAGAGAGAGAGAGAGAAAGAGAGAGAGAAAGAGAGAGAGAGAGAGAAAGAGAGAGAGAGAGAGAGAGAGTGTGTGAGATTGAGTGAAAATGAGAGTCTGTGTTGTCGAACGAATATATACTTTGTATGTGTATACTAATAAAAGAGAAAAATAGGAAGAAAAAGAAAGATAGAGCAAAAAAAAAGAGTATAAACTTGTGTGTCGTGAAAAAAAATGGTCTTTTGTCGTTTTAAGTCGCAATTAGATCCACTGTACAAGGTAGTATTAAAGAAAAAAAGAAAATAAAGAAGAAGAAGTATACATGAAAAGTTTAAAAATAGAATCGAGGAGATAAAGAAATAGAGAGAGAGAGAGAGAGAGAGACAGAGAGAAATGAAAAATTGAAAGTTAGTTAAGGAAGGTATCCGTCGCAAGAAAAATTTCAGGATTAGCGATTAAAATATAATTAATCTCATTCACTATGAGGCATGAATGTAGCACATAATGCACAACGTGACGTTTTAACTTCTTTCATCCTTCCTCCTAATCTATTATTTAAAATATGGCGATTAAGAAACAGCAGGGACTGCAGAGAACTTCTTTTGCTCTTCTTTCTCGTGTGCCAAATTTGCAAAAAATTTATCAAGCCTTGTTCGTATCTCTGATTGAGGTCAATAAAAATGAACAATTAATCGATCATCCTTTATTTTATTGGACTTTTTTATTACTAGTAAAGAATAATATCGTCTGAAATAAATCTGATATCGTACAATCATCGCGTATTTAACACGTGCTGTATAATATTTCATCGATTAGATATTAATTGCTCAAATTTTTATTTTGATTTAAATTATTTTGTTTTATTTTATTTGATTTAACGCGTTTTACGCGTATATCTAACGTGTGTAAAATCTAATATTATTTTCATTATCTATCTCATGTTGATACATTTGATTAGAGAGATCGACAGAGAGTATTCGATTGATCACGTTTTGTACTTTGCGCTTAAAACAAACCATCCTAGTATGAAGAGAGAAATAGAAAGAGAGAAAGAAAGAGAGAGAGAGAGAGAGAGAGAGAGTACGTTATT